AACAACGCGAGCTTCGGATACCGAATCGCCTGACACATGGAGGGTGAAGCGTGAGGTTGAGCTTGGACCAGGAGAACACAGAGAGATAATCAAAGTGGGATCTTGTATGCGTTTCGGAGACACAACATACATTTACATTGAACATTTCGAAGGTTCTTGCCAGGGAAGCTTGTTGGCCAATCTGATAGAGCGTGTTGACTTTGAACGCGGCTAAGTGAAAAGGGTATTTTGGCTTTAAAAATCCTATAGCTTCTGGTTGTCTGGCCTTGATGGTAAAACGCTGAGTGAACGGAAGAACTAGACAGATGGAAAAGAGGGTTTATCAAATGGATGCCCAAGATTTTAGGGCTCGACGTACTTCGCGGCAGCTCATACAGACGAAAGGGGGGGGGTTCTGTGGGAACCCTTACCGGAGCCTTTGACTCAAAAATCGGAGCCACAGAGCGTTGGTGCGTAGGTCCAACGCGATAAACCATAACGAATAATTGTGCTGTAAGACTATCCTTTGTCATTATCATATGAATATCGACCGTACTGTCATCATTCAGATCGTAATAAGAACGAATATACTCAGATCACTGGCAAAACACATCCATACTAGGTAATTGTTCCCACTGGTCCGACTTTTAACTTGCGTGCACTTCCTTCTATGAGAAGCGCCAATAAACGGAACGATTCCTATCTAAATTGCCCTTTACAATAATTTTCACTCTCAAACACGGAGTCAACAAACTATTTTCATCCTTGCACGATAGATATCTAGGCTATGTTTAGTTCAGTCCATGCAACCCTTAACCTCACACTTTGTAGTGGCGATTTTGGTTGGTCTTTTAGCAGTCCAATTAGATGGAGTTCAAGATGGAACTAGAAAGATATAAGAGCAACAACCCCATAGTGGTGTTCAAATACTGTTAGCCTGGCTGTCTCCTGTTCCGTTAAGACCATGTCTCTGCACCATGTTGCAACGCTGGTCAGACAGCTACATAATGCAATCAAAACATCACGGGCAATCAGATATTGCGGGAGCACCATAAAGTTAGCAAACGCGAACGCCTCTCGTTGATATTAGACTCCGTCGACTGTCTGTCGCAGGTGAACGGTGCTTTTAGACCAGGTCGAGGTTAGAACAGTTGGTGCACTCAACATTTATATCTTTCTTTATCTTACTTTATATATATATATATATATATGACAAGACTGTGTGCCAAACAAAACATGGTACAATAATCCTTTTGAAATAGTTTGTATTCAAAGTTGAACTGTATACTCTGTGTGTTGAACATAGAGGTGCGCTTCCTTTCCCCGTCCCTCAAAGTAGGCCCAATCCATACCCTCAGACATTCTCAATAACCTTGAATGCATTGAGTTGGGCAGCGATCAGAGAAGTTCGTTTTTACTGTATTACGCTGTACGATTATGATGAATCTGTTAAGACAGAATGTCCGGGTTCGAAAACCGCTGTCTGCACCGGACTGCACGAGTCTAGTGGGACAACTGATTAGGCTCGGCAATTTTGGAATTTGCTGAAGTGAGTACTCGATCACCATAGATAACGTTGGTTGGAGCATGCGTTAATCATATCACCAAGTAGGTTGCCACGGCATGCAATATCTAATGAGGCAGGCAGTGGGTGGGTGGTGGTCAAACTAAAACCCGGTATGAGGGTAAGAGAATTCTGACGAGGAGGTTGGACATGTAGGTCGGGTCAGACTTCCTAGATGGAGACCTCGGGATCATTATAACCGATGGCTAGAGACACTTGATGATATTGCTGAGTGCGGTAAATATCGCGATCTCCCCAACCGTTGCCCTGCTACATGCTCGCAGGGCCATTCCTACAGATGCTAAGTTGAACAGGGCGCAAATCCCTTAAGCAACAGTTTGAAGAATGACCGTGAGAAGTGCTGCAGTCCGCCGAGAGCCACGTCGAAAGTTGGTGCTAGCTAAAAACAAGTGATAATCTGCACAGAACTGACACGGTCAATCGCTCTTGTCTGTTCACTGGAAGGCAGAGAAAAGCCCTACCTTAGACAGGCTTTATATCCACTCAATTGCCCATGTATTTTCATGCACCGGTTTTGGTTGCTGTCCTGGGGTCCTAGGAAAATGAGCTTAAGTGAGGTAATTAAGGAATCCGATGGCAAGCTGATTCACGATCATCAACGTCTTCACCGTGGGGCTGAACACTTCGAGGCTCAGTTCAACTGGCCCCAATCAACATCTTATCTTTCACGCTCCACTGCGACCGCGCAAAGTCTGCCAATCGATGCCAGTCCTCCATCTGAAATAGAGGTTTCCCGAAAAATAGACTCTCAAAAGGCATAAGGCCTCTGACCCAGATGGGCTGTTCCCATCAGCGTTTAAGGATGGAGGCTCAGTGTTAGTCTTGGAGTTGACAAAACTCCTGGGTTCAGTTTGGGAAAGGGAAGAGGTTCCATTTGAATGGTATGAATCGATCATCGTAGAGATTTACAAGAAAGATGATAGGTCCTCTTGTGAAAACCACAGAGGAATTAGTTTAATCAATATTGCCTCTAAACTTCTCGCTGGCATCATACTCCGCCGATTGTCTTCCGCACGTGTGAGAACCAGGCTAGTTTTAGGCCCGGTCGAGGTTGCATCGCCCACATCTTCACTCTTCGCCAAACTCTGGAGAATCGACATTCTTTTCGTAGACCCACCATCTTTGTTTTCCTAGATCTGAAAGCGTCTTTCGACTCAGTCGACCGCTCTAAACTCTGGCGCTGCCTGCCCCTGAAAGGTGTACCTGAGGAGTTTATTTCAATATCACGATCCCTCTATACTAATAACCGAAGTCGAGTCCGGGCTCACGGCACGTTTTCTCCCGAGCTCACCACGGAAAGTGGTGTTCGACAGGGTTGCCCTCTCTTTGCGTTTCTATTTGACTTCCTGATAGATTTATTTTTCCTCGTGCGAGGATAGCGGTATCGATTTACTCCCAGGTGGCAGGCTGTTTGATCTATGGCTAGCAGACGACATTGTGCTGCCAATTGAAGAACCAGGTAATTTCCGAGCATTTCTGGCTAACTTGAATACCAGTGTAGCCACATTCGGTACGTGTTTTGCACCTTCAAAGTGTAAACTTTTGTTACAAGACTGGGTTGGCCCAGCATCGAGACTTACTCTAACTGGGGAAGTAACGGAGCAAGTAGATGAGTTTTGTTTTTTGGGCAACTGCATCTCACCCGATGGACGCATCACAGATGAAGTGTGAGCCGCATACAGAAGGCTCGGTTGGCATTTTCCAACTTGAGACATCTGAAGCGCCGTCGCGAAATCGGGCTGTCTGTGAAGGATGGAGTGTATGCCGCGACGGTTCGTCCAGTTCTGATAAACGGAGCAGAAACTTGGTCATTAAGAAAACAAGATCAAGATAGACTGTCGGTGTTTGAATACTGCTGTCTACGCAGCATTGCACGAATCTGGTGGGGCAGCCGAACCAGAAATGCTGGCGCAGAGTTTTAGCTAAATGTGGTCCCTCACTGGAGCAAGTGGTCGAGCTCCATAGATTACGTTGGTTGGGGTGTGTTACACTACATATGTCACCAGATAGATTGCCACGGCGAGCAATGTTCGCCGAGGCAGGTGGTGGGCGGAATAAAGCCAAGAGTGGTCAAATTAGGACCTGGCATAAGGGTATGAAAACCCAAACCAGGAGTTTGGGTCATATAGGTCCCGTTAGGCCCCCCTGGATGTGGACCTCGGGACAATCGTAATCGATGGTTAAAGACACTGAGTGATATGTCTGCGAGTTGTAAACATTGGCGTTCGTGCATCTCCGCAATTTCTTCCCAACCTTAGTCCACTGATTCTCAATTTTCTCTTCGATTCCACGTTCAACTCTCCTGTCCTTCTCCTACTGTTCATCCAAACGGACAAACAAAAGCGACGCAGGGAAGTGCATAGTTAATGGTTGTTCAAACTGTACTGAGCTAATTCGCTATTCTTTCAATCTCTTACTTTTTTTTCAGGTTGCTTGATCATTATAATTCATTATAACGCTGTTCTACTTTCGGGCAATGCATATTACTGATGGTCATTGCCCTTCGAATGCGGTAATCAACGAATCATATTACGTGCTTCGCAATCCAGGAAGCTATCGTACGTGTATCATACCATCACACAAGCCCTGTACTTTTTAGATCCTGCTATTATTCTTGAAAGTCGAGTTGGGGATACCGGACAGTTGGAATATTTCGTACACTATAAAAATTGTAAGTTTTCTTTTTATGTTCATATGAGCAACCAAAGTGGACAAAAGATTAGATGAATGGGTGGTTCCCGAGCGTATTGACTTTTCACGGAAATTTCCTTCTCGAACGCGGTCACCGGATAATATCCCGACTACGAATGAGGAGTCGTCTCGTCGTTTTACTAGGAATCAGAAGCGTCGATACGTAGAGAACTCTGCCCAAGATTCGGTAAGTTAAATGTAGCTTAAGGTTTGAGTGTCGGTGGTTTTCCTTGATAATGTTTTTATTGAGAATGCTGGTTGGAGCGAAGCATCTTCGATTACTTGTTCTCATGCTGATGCCTTGCTGTTAATCAAAAGGGTAATAAAAGGGGCATTATGATGTACAACACGAGATGAGTGGAAAGAGAAACCGGATGCATTGAAACATAGGGTCTATCACATGGCGATATTGTAGGATGTGATCCGTTGTTGTTCCGATTGGACATCTGATTAGTTATATCATGCGGTACAGCCCGCGGCAGCTTGGGGTTATGTTGAAGTGATTTTTTTTGCTCAACTCAAGGTGGTGGATCCGGAAGACAAATGCATCTGCAGTGTGTACCGAGACTATTCTCGTTTTCCTGCACCGGTTCATTTTAATTCTCCAGATGACGCAGAGTGATATCTCAACATCTGCAGAGTTGCGTTGTCAATGGAATGCTCTACAATAAAGCATCGGATGAATCTTTTTTTCAGCCACACTAATTGCTGCCCTTGGATTCTTTGGATCAGTTGTTGACAAATATAACCAGCTACAATGAAGCAGAGAAACGTGTTGATAGATATTAAAGTGGTTGGCAGAAGTTATTTTCATTTTTTGAAATACCCCATATTCCAAAGTCTTGGACGTTAAATTTTACATCATAGCGTTCATAGTGCAAAGTTGTCGAATTATAGCCATTTTCGGCAAACAAGCATCGTGCATTCAGGTACAACCAATCTGATCTCCATACCTCTTCGCCGTCACCGCCACCACCATCATCATAGCATACAGAATGAATTCACCGATCACTGTCAGACTTTTAACGTGTACAAGCTATGTATACGAAAAATCGCAGGTTCTCTGACAATTTTAGATATTCTTGTCTCCTATTTCCTATGTTGAATAAGTTGTTCTTTATGCATCGGAGTTTCATCACGTTCATCGGCAAAAAAGACCATTGAAGCATTCGACGGTCCTCTCATCTTCGTTGGTGTTCTACCTCAGCGTATCAATGCGTTGACCACGATCGCTGATCAGATTCTGATGACAGAGGTGAGTATCTAAGGGGAGTCATCGTTCAAACACCGCACATCTACTGGTATCGTATAAAACTCGCAAATTTGCTTTTCATAGTTCGGGCTACTGTTGAATGCACCATCGACTATTCCTAGCTAAGACGAAAGTCCAATACTCGGCTTCTGAAACTTGTTATTTGAGTGAAAAGTAAATAACATTGGCCAAATCACTCCTGCCTTTTCTATGCTTTTATAGTATGGTATAACTGTATTGGTAAAAGTTTCATAAAACAAACCTCACTGTACCTTGTGTTTTTATTTACAGAATTTGAACGATTCTCTGGATTCCACCACACAGAAATTGGAGTTGGAGCATCAGGAGGTAGGAACACATCTGCTATGCTGTAACCATTTCAATCTGAATGTGTTATTACACGTTCTGTATATCAATTTTGTCATTTTTTTCACCTTTTCTCTTTCCCCTCAGTTCACACCCGTGTCAAACTGCATTGTTGTCATTCTAAGTTGCACCACTGCATTAAAGGACTACTTGCATTGGTGAGTAGGTTGTTTTGCAAGTGCAGAAAGAGGTGGTTGGCGGATTCTCACGGCACTAAAAAACGAACAGGGCATCTGGGGTTGGATTAGCTGGTTTAATACGGTAAGGACATATGTGAACAGATTGGCTGACTGCTCGAACGCCAATCCAGAGTCCTTCATGGAACTGGATTGACTGTCACAGATTACATGGTTCGTCGTATGCAGCAAGATTTACGCGCAATCCATATCATTCCGGCAATGAACAATTCTTCAGTTCAGTCGAGGACTTGTGAGTTCGTAACACTAGCACAGTTGCTCAAACTCAGATCCCCTTGATGATATTTTTTCGTTTTCCTGAGCGTACACGGTGAAGCTCCAACCCTCAGAACTAATATCATCAGAACTAACCATCTTTTTCTCGGCTCTGTGGCACTGTTCGTTTGCGGGAGAACGTTCAGAAAACAACACAAAACATTTTAATTACTCACCCACTTTTCTTTTCAAACGATCCCCGTCAGGTACTTAGTATTCATCTTCTTTGGAGTAAATAAACGTTCAGTGACAATATTTATTCTTAGAAAAGAATCCATTGTTCGATATTAGCAACGTTGTTCTCTCGGGTATTCCGTTATGGCTAGGAACGTTCATTTATCTAACTGGTACGCAGTATATTTCGTACATTGCAAAATCTTCAGCAACTCTTGCCGTCTTGGTGCTGCGTGCAAGCCCACGGCAGGCTAACAAATCTCCCACAGTGTTTTCGTTCCACATAAAAACTACAATTAATGGGGAAATAAGAAACCTATGGCTGACTACTTTTCTGTGTTTGAGGGCAGAACATCATGTTGGTATTACCTATTGCATGTAAGGATGAACGGAATGGTTATCTAAACAGGGAAGCCATGTGTTATAGACTTTTACATTCGTGTGTGAAATATGCCCGTGTTCATCCGCGCTCTTTCGTTAACCTTCTCCATACACTGAAGCGAGATACATTTCTCTTTGCATTAACTCTATCCTAGAGGACATTAACTACCTTTTACTTCGTTACCCAATGGATACTGTGTATTTTCCCTCCGGTTTGGTCAAGTCGCGCTTTTTCTTCATACATGCCACCAAAATTGCTGCTCTTGTTTGTGTGCTTTGCTATGGTCACCGTGCTTCACGTAGCTTTTTTTGTCTGTTGTCTCCCATAGTTCACTCGGGTCAAATTCATCGATCATATTCAGTTTGGAAAACATGAGATTGATACTTGGTACTTCTCGCCCTATCCGGAAGAGTATCGACGTCTAAACAAACTATGGATTTGTGAATATTGTTTGAAATACATGAAGTCCGCTCAAGTCTGGATGAAACACGTGTCCGAATCATGCAAACAACATCGACCACCGGGACGTCAAATCTATCGAAAGGGCGGATTGATTGTGTTCGAATTGGATGGCAATGAGCAGAAAGTAATTTTTCCGCGTTAATTACGCTGACTTCCTTCTCTCAAATCATCAGTTCATTGCACAGGCGTCTATATATGTATCCTCGTTCCCACGTGTATATATATATATATATATATATATATATATC